GGGGACCAACCCAGGGGCTGGTGTAACCCAGAGCTGTAGAAAGGTTCTCTGGGAGAAAGTCAAGGTGACCCTCAGAGGGGCTAAAAGGGAAGAAAGACATTCACCCTCTGGGCATTAATGACCAGTTTGTTATTGAGCCTCCTGAGAATTTTGTTGTTTCTCTCACACATGGCCCAGAGTGAATCAAATTATCTTACCCTAAACCTGCCAAGCGGGATGGGGCTTTACTCTGAGAGCTTGCCCTGTGAGATAAACTATAAAAGAGCATGCCACTTACAATTTTATAAAGGGAATATTCAAGGCTGTCACTTTTTCTCCCTATTGAAAGGCTCCTTTTCACAGAAAACTATATGAAGCAAACATTCTGTGTTATACAAACATTAAATAACGAACTTATAAGCAATCACCTCTTGAGTGGTTTTTTTCCCCTCCTCTCTAGTCCTAGATAGATACAAGGTCAATTAAAAAAGCAACAGCTTCCTAAGCTACAGCAGCAGAGGGCTCAACTCTACACAGCTCCAGACTCACCACTTTACCAGTCCAAATGATAAAAAATAAACCAGTATACCCACTATCACACAGCTTCTTGGCACATGTACTGAGGCAAAGGAAAGAGAGAAAGTTACAGCACAAGAGCGGTAACACACAACGATCACCCCATCCCATCCAGAGCTTCCCAACACTGAGGAGGTAGTTTCCACCCCCTCTGGGTATTTCCAGAGCAAGCTGCACACAGTGTCACCCCGCTCCTCCTGTGTCAGTGTCTGGCATCTCACCTCTGCTCTCGTAAGCGTGGACTGCCTGGCGAGAGGGTGAACTGCTGGTGGCTAGGACTGGACACAGCACTGCTTTATTTTTATAAGATGCAACAGCACATGCCCCACAATTCCATTAATCCAGCCTGAGTGAAAATGAAAAGCAGATGACGACCGTCTTTCCCTGCCCACAAATGAGCTTCCAAACAAAGTCAGTCAAGTTCAAGAGGGAAGCTGGGAAGCCCAGTGCACATTGCACATGCAGTCTCTTTCTTAACACTTGCAACTGTCTTTGCTTTATCTGCACTTGTTAAAACATACCTACATACTAAATTACAACACTTACCATAACCCCTTTGGTCTGCTCGTGGTACTAACAGAACTTTAAACCTGGCAAAGTCTTTATTTATTTACGCAGTTTAAACATCTCAAGCCCTACCAGGCAATCAAGACAATAAACAAATTAGCATCTTCCAACGCCTATCCTTACAGAATGCAGAAAAATCAGTTTTACTGCAATTCTTAAACAAAAAGGAGTTATTGAAGTCTAATCAAGGCCAACAACGAAGTAGTAGTTTCCACATATCAAGGCACAACTTTCTACCTCCTCCTTATTTAAGCCAAAAATGTTTTGGGAACTTGCTAATTTTCGCTTTCCTTTTCACTCATCACAATATACACTGTTTTGCATTAACATTTAAGGTTATCTATTTAAAAGCATGTTTCATACTTGGCCACTTTCAGTTTGCTGCAATTTCTGAACTTCTTCAATACCAAAGTCCCCATGGACCACCTGTAACTTTCAGCAGAGAACCCTCCATGTTTTTGTCACTACATTTTCCAAACTTCAGCTGAATTGCAGATATTCTTGTTCAGCAAAAACACAAAAAGAGAAAGCCTTCACTCTCTATCAGTCATTTATTCCATATAGTTCTACCATTCCCTTGAAATGGATAAGGATTCTACATCAAACCTTAACCCAGACTAACTGCTTTTCCCCTATATCTGAGAAATAAGCCTTAAAAATAAACACCTTCATCCAACAACATACCGACCATTGGGTTATGGAGGCCAAGAACTCACCACAGAATAGGTATGTTTAAAACAAAAGAAGCCACCCGACTGCCTCCTAACTACAGCACTTCAACTTTATAGCTTCTTTACTTAAAAGGATGCTGTTACCTTAGGTAACATTATATTTATTCAAAAGAACTAGATCATAATGCTCCATACTTCTGCCTTTAAAACACTGAAATAAAATCATCTTGTCAAAGACTACAGGAAAAGCACTTTGAAAGCAACTTGGTATCAACGTGGCAAACTTACCAAAGATCCATCCCTGCAGCCTAACAAGGTCTTCACAACTTGAGCCTTAGAGCATAACGACTGACGCTACTCTAGTTACCGGGAGCCTCAACCCTCTACAGAACCAGGAGCTGCCTTCCTAAGAGCCAGATCTGGAAGGAGGATGGGGTTAAACAACAGGAATCAGACACATAACTCTATTAATCACAATAGCTAAAAGAAAAAATTTAAAAAAAAATCAATACAATATACCATACCACTGCTATCAGAACATCATATATCCCCTATGAAATAGATTGGTTAATTTCATTAGATTAATTAACTTCACGTGTCATTAATGCTTCGTAGCACAAGCTATAACTTGGATATGAACCTCTTAAATGGGATTTCATCCGCACTGAGTAACAGCAACTACCTGACAAGTGTAAGAGCCTCAGTTAAACTGGGATTCAGAAACTGGAAGAAAGAAATGCCTTGTGCAAACAGAATAGGGGAAAAAAGTTTGTTCTCTGCCCTCCCAAGAGGAAGATTACTAAACAGGGGATTTATAGTGTTCAGTATTAATTACAGACACCAATGTGACTAATGTAACAGCAGTAACATACTTACTATTAATGGTTACTAAGGCAAGGGATTGATTGTCAACAAGTAATTCCTAAATGAAAAGGTACTTTTTGATCCATAAATTGTTGTGGTCAGCTAGGAGCACCCAAGTGGACACACCCTGTTAAAGCCCAGCTGCTCCCTGACAATCAGGGAGCTGCCCATCAGCCCCCCCCACTCCCTCATGTCCCTGTGACCCCAACCACGCAGTTACCCCACCTGTTACTTCCCTCTAGGCCTCTTTGGGTCCTCTCTGCTGAACAGCTCTGGTGTTGGCTTGGGGACTTTCCCCAAGATGCAGCAGGCTTATATTGACCTGACTCTTTCAGTTTTTGTCCCAAGCATCCATATGCAACTTTTATTTCAGACTCAAAAGTAAGGAAAATAATTTGCATGACACTCAAATTTTAAACTGACTCCAAGCCCTTAAGGACTATCCATTTGTTTCTGCCAGCTACAGAAAGAAACAAAGTGATCTGTAGTGACTCTTAAAACAGCACAATATGAGAAAACATTTTAATAATATGCTAAACTGAATCAAGCACTGTGCAATTTCTCTCCTTTTCACTACATATATGGGGTTTGTGTTACCTCCTGAAGTTGTCCATGAGCCTATTGTCATTACTTTTTTAAAAAAGTCTCTATTCTGCCACCAGCCCTGCTGAGAAATTCCAGTCTGTCAGATCACAATGACTTGGAAGTAGCTCTCAGCAAGGACCACTCATGCTTTAGGTCACCAGCTATGCTGGTGGATAAGCCATGACATCATCTTCATACCTCAGTTACAAAATATTGCATTCAAAATACTCCAAATCTGCTATTCTACAATAACCTTTTCAAGATAGCAATGAAAATACAAGTGCTTACTATATGTTCTTATTTTAAACAGTAATATTATCTGCATGCAGTTGTTAAAACTATCTCTTAAGATCTCCATCAAGAAATGCACATATGCAATCAAAGTTTACAAGTATGTTTACACATAAACCAGTCTGAGCGACACACATAAAAGTGACAGAGGTGAATTATTTTTACCCACAACATCCAAAGCATGTGTTGTAACTACGAACTATACAGGTCTAACCCTGAGCTCAGTGACCTGGGAAGGGAATTTATGCATTTTATCCATCACACGGGTTACCAGCTGTGGGAAATGAAGACCACACTGTTTCCCCCCCTCACACACACACACACAGAGCAAAACACAAGTACAGCTGATTTGCTGGTGACCCACTCCAGCTTCTAGCAAAGTCGTACAACTAACAAAGTCTAGACAATCCTACGACTATACACACTCACAGGACCCTTCCCGAAGCCCCAGAGGAGGTCGGACAACACGAAGTGCATGTTCACCACAAGAAGCACAAGTCGAGCACCCCGCAGCAAGGGGAAGCTCTCCAGCGCAAGCTGCCAGCACCGCACCGCCACTCGTGACCCTGACAGCAACCAGCTGCCCTACACCAAGGAAGGCCATGCCTTTGATTTTTGCTGTGTTTTTTGTTTGGTTGGGTTTTTTTCCTCATATTAGTTGGCAGAAACCTGACACAGGCGCTAGTGACACCTCACCCCGCCTCACTCACCCAGGGCAGCGTGCCGGGGAACTCGGAGCGCCCTAAGGAGCCCCCGGCCGAAACAGCACCCCCCAAACCCCCCGCACCGGCCCGTCCTCACCTTCGGCCAGCGGCTCCTCGGGGGTCACCTGGTACCGCCCCACCGCCAGCGCCTGCCCAGGGCCACGCCGCCTGCCGGAGCCGCCGCACGCCCGTCCCGCCGCCGCCGCCGCCGCTCCCCTCGGACTTGGGCATGCGGGGGAAAACTTCTTCATGGCGAGCGGGCCCAGCAAGAGCCGGGGAAGAGCCTGAGGCAAGGAGGCGGCGAGGGGGCTGCCCGCTTCACATGCCGGGCCGCGGCCCCCGCTTCTCCTCACCCCCGCCGGGCCCTGAGGGGAGGAGGAGGAAGGAGGAGGAAGGCGAGGAGGAAGGAGGGGAGACGGAGCAGCCGCAGCCCCGCCGGCCGGGGCGGCTTGGGGACGGCGCGCGCTGTGCCGGGAGCGGCCGCCCCGCGGCGCGCGGCCGCAGAGCGAAGCGCGGGGCCGCCCCCGCCCCTCGCAGATGAGCCCGCGCGGCCGGAAGTTGCGGCCGGGCCGGCACGTGCGGCGGGAGCGAGGCGCGGCGCTGGAGACCGCCCCCCCCCCGCCCCTCAGGAGCGCGCGGCGCCCCGAGGGCGGGGAAGCGCCGCGGGGGGCCCCTGAGGGGGCAGGCGGGAGGCGCTGAGGGACGCGGCCGGCCCGGCACTCACTGCCCGCGGAGCCCCTCGGCGCCGCTCCCCGCCGCCTGACGCCGCCCCTCGGGCCTCACCGGCACGGCCCGGAGCGGGACGTGCCCTCGGGAGGGAGTCTGCCAGGAGCAATATGGAGACGGCTTGGTGAGGATCGCGGTGGGGAAAATGGCTCTCCACGCCCCGGGCTGTGGAGGCTCCGGGGTCTGTGGCATGCTTCCAGAAGGGGAATTCCAGGGAGGTCGTGGAGTCTCCCTCTCTGCAGACTTTCCAAACCCCCCTGGAGGTGCTGATGTGCCACCTTCTCTGGGTGACCCTGCTTTGGCAGGGGGCTTGGACTGGATGCTCTCCAAAAGTCCTTTCCAACCCTAACAATTCTGGGTTTCTATGAAATAACTGTGAAAAGCATTGATGACAAGTATGAATTCCAGTGGTGCGTCTTCACGAATACGCTGTGCAGAGGTTTGAAGGGAACTGGCAGAAAAGAGGTAAAAGGATGGATCTGGACAGGAAACCATCAATGAAATGCAAAATGTTTGTTTTCCCACTGTGAAATGTACTGACCATGTGCAGTTTCCCTATTAACACCGACAAAGCAAACTTGGGAATTTACTAACACAAGCTTGTTTACCCTGTGAAATGCTCAGGAAAATAAGAATTGTACTTATAAAGCCATTTCTGAACCACAGGAAGTCCTGTGTCCCGCGGTCCCTCGCTGAAATTTGATTGGAAAGGCTGGAGCCACAGCAGCTGGGGAGCCACAGAGAGGTACGTCATTGACAGTGTGCTGCTCCATGGCCAGCCTGGCTGGTTAGGGCAGTGCTTGTCACAGTTCCGCAGAGACAACACCGGAAAAACACCCTGCACTTACAAATCACTTATCTCAAGTTTCCCCTTCAAATCCACATTCAGACTGAAGCTGAACATCATCCAAAAATGGTGAGAGATGACAGGCATTGAAAAGGTAGCTTCATTCCAAGCCTGTTCTCCTTGTGAGTCCCTCCTGTAGAAATAAAACTGTGGTACTTGTGTGTTGTTTTCTTTCTCCTTACCGAATGCAAGCATACAGTAAAAATAAAACTGACATGGGACACTGTCAGTCTCTCATATGAATAAATGGAGCTGCATTTTTGGCAGTTACAGTGGGAATTTAGCTACAAGGCCTTTCCCACAGAACACCTAGGTTTTGGATGGATATCAGTTACAGCCATCAGTTCAGTAAAAACTCTGGAGAAGTCAGAAGTGTAAATCTTCGGGATGATGCGCCGGTAACCAAATTAGTTTCGAGTTAATCATATTGCCACACTCTTAGTGGGTAAGAAAATGACTATTTACTGAAGTGACAACTTGTCACACATCGAAAGCACCGATAAGCTGTTTGCAATAGCAGTCCCCTTTTTGTAGTCATTGCCATCCTTTCAGTAACAACAGATCAATTTTTCAGCAGCATACAGAGATTAATTCACAGTTTTCCTTGGGAGAGAAAGGTGTTTTGAGTGCAGATGAAAGGAACAGAGTTCTGTGAGAGGGATGGCATGAGCAGCAATGTTTTGTTAATGAGGGCATTCCTACAGTGAGATATGCCTATGCTCCTCAGATATTAAATGATATCTTAGAGAAAAAAAATGCAGCTAGGCTATAGGCACAGAAGTTTAGTGCCACTGAGTAGCACAATTTTGCTGGTCCTCAGTAAAAATAATGTATTTGCTAAAAGCCACTGTGAATTTGAGAGCAGGACTGGCTTTTAGGTTACCCTGGTGAGTTTTTATTTGGCTTTGGGGTCCCCATCCCCACGCATGTGTTTTTATTCTTTTTAAAGTAAGAGATTATATTATCGCTGGCCTTATTTATAGGCCAGACAAAATGAGCCCTCTTGTTATACTGGGATTAACGCTGCTAATCTCTGTCGTGGCATCCTGGAGGACGCAGAGGTCAGCTCCTGGGCAGAGCTGGCAAAGCGGTGTATCAGCGCTGCACACCGAGCTGTGAGCGGGCAGTGGCTGCAGGGCTGGCTCCCCTCCTGCCAGGCATTTCCAGGAGCCGTGTTCCACAGCCCATTCCACCTCAGACCTCGCACCAAATGGTCTTTTTCTCTGGGACACCACTGTGTTGTGAGGAGGTTTCGTGTTATGGATTCCCTTTTATTTAAGTATAGGTCAAGGAAGTTCAGTGATAGAGACAATTTTGACAACTCACTTAAAAAATATGGGCCTCGCCCTCTAAGCAGGTGACAGGTAATTTTGGATGTGTATATGGGTTCTCTGACTTTAATTCCTCACCTGAGCAGAACAACACTTTGGTATTTCTAGAAGCTAAGTTAATTTCCAAAAAGGAAGAGTTGTGAGATTTCTTTCAGCGAAGGTATGAAACCCAAAGTAAACTTTGTTCTTCCTTTTTGAAATGAAAACTCTCCTTTGGTTCAGGCAGAGCAGGGATGCCTCGGTCTCCTGTCTCCTGCATCTGGAATGTGTGTGGTAAAAGATCAGAAAGGTCTTTGCACTGCTTGAAAAACAAACAGAAAACAAATTTCGGTACCCTGAAAGCACCCACAAGCACAGTTATTTTCAGGTTTATGTGAAACAGTAGATCATCTGAAGAAAAATGCAGTGGCAACAGAAGATCAGAAAGATGAATCCTCAGGTAAGGAGAGATCAGCTACAAAAGGTAGAGGAAGTGGGGGATCATAATGCAGAGGCTGCACTGAAGCTGGTATATCAGTGATCGTTCAGAGGAGTGGGGGATGATGATCTATATAATGTTTTTGCTTCTTAAACCTTCAGCTCGATGAGTCATGAAATCATAGGAGATACTGATCTTTCATTATTAAAAAAAATAAAAATAAAAGAGCAATTAAGGTCAGCTTCTGCTTTTTATGACGGTGGAGTCAACACTGAACTACCACTGCATGAAAACAGGAGAGACAACAAAAGAGTCCCAGCCATGTGCTGTGTATGTCTCCACCACAATATTGGAACATTTGACTTCTTCATTGCTTTTATTGCCTGGGGTCTAAAATAGCCACACGTTTTTCCTTTTCTAATAGCTGTGTAATGGCAGAGCTATATGGTGTGTAAACGATTCCGCTTACTGTCTCTATTCAGCAGTAACATACATCTTGAAGCTCCTGTCCCAGTTAGTGTCACAAAAGCAGGCCCAGAGGGGTTTTCAGTGCAGCAGCAGCTGTACTCTCAGTGTCCAGAGTGTTAGAGTGATTGCTGGTGTCAGAGGGTGTATCAGTGACTTTACTTCCCCACATATAAAATTAATGTAGGGATTAGCTACTCCATTGCAAAATACATTGAAGATTTATGGAGGAAAGCTCTAGCTGAGAACACTGCTTAAAAAATGAAACACCAGATATTTCACATGCGCTTGGAGTTGGAAACGTGATGGTTTAATCCTCTTTAAGCTGCTGAATAGTTCAAATGCCTGTACCTTGATTACTCTTTCTCAAGCAATTCTTTCCTTACATCTCTCCCTACTCATAACTCTTTCCTCTATACAATACATAAATTGGTTTTAAATCAATCCCATGAGAATAAAACAACTTCCTGCAAAAAAGTTAAGATTCCCTTACAGAAAGTAGTTATTAAGGCAAAATAGAAGTAGAGAACTTCCTTTGTGTGGGTGTTGTTTTGGAAATGTCTCTTGGTGCTTCTGGATAAACTCTTTCCCTTCTAATTACCTGAGTTGAGTGTTAGAGACAAAAGGAAAAAAATCTACTCTTACAGAAATATGTTATTGATGTATTAAAACTTTAAAAGAAATTGGTAACAGAGTCTCTCAAGGTCCCTCAAGTTCAGGAATTACTGCAGTAAATTTTTGTCATTTGGGTATGTGAGGGTTATTTTCTATTTTGTAATAATTTAGTGAGTGTGAACAAAGCACTGCCAGAGACTGCGTTTGCCCAATAAGCTCTTTTAATTTTCCCCTCTTATCGCTTCATTGTTGCATGTTTATTTTGCTTCTGGTCCCATGAGAGCCGTGAGAAACATCACTTTACACATTGAAGTAGGCTATACAGTCTCCCGATCTCAGAAAATACTGTCTTAGTTTTGTACTGCTGACCCTGATGGAGTCTGTTTTAGGCACGGTTACTGAAACCACACAAAATGTTTATGATGAGCTAAAAGCTAAGAAAACCCCAGGAGACAACTGGTTTGGGTTTGGTTTTGCATTTTTTCTAGGATGAAGTCATATCCCAGCTCCACATCTCAGAGGCAGGAGTAGTAATGAAAGGCTTTTTTGCTTTGCTTACTTATACATACAAAGTAGCAGAAAGAGCTTGGTATGTTGTGAACCATGTTGGCATGGAAAATATGTTGACGTGGGGGGAATAAAAAACAAAAAGACTGAAGTCACTGGAGCAGAGGGATGGCACAAATCAGGCAGAAAGCAAGTGCATCCTCTGGAGGCTCCCCTGGTTCAGAGGGTCTGAGCAGCGCTGGATGCTTAGCCTTGGGAACACAGATAAGTTTTCATTCCTTTCAGTTTCTATCAGCTAATTCTAATCAGGGAGGAAACTAAGGGAGCTGTGGAAAGTAACTAAGTTGCTGATTTGTGAAGTTGAAATGGAAACAGAGGAGCCGGCTGGACAAAATAGTCAAGGTGCAAATAGCTGACATCAGCTTTGATGACACCCAGCGCAGCTCTCATTGACACTGAGGTCAAGAGTCTTTTATTGCAACACGAGATTCGGTCACTTGTACCACAGCCAGCGTTGAGACCAAACAAAATACAAATTCCTTGTTGAGATGACAACCCTTGGCCGCTTCAAAACAGTAAGGGAAAGTGGGGAAAACGCAAAGCAGCTGTGTTTGTAAGAGTCCTTGGTGAAAATCTGAGAGGAAGGAATAGGAAAGAGGGGGTAACAGGCTCAGAATTGTTCACATCTGACCTGGTAAATTTCTTTACATTTATATTAATCTGTTTCCTTTCTGGAACAGAACAGTCTCCTGTGTTTGTGCTGATGACCAGGCCTCTGGCTTTGTTTGATAGGGTAACATGTTCCTGCTTGCTTTATAAGAGCAGTCTTAGATCTGTATTGGGCCTCCTGCAGTTGAACCTCTTCCCTGCCTTCCATTGTCCAGGTTCCTGGTTATTCCCAGCTTACCAGGAGTCCAGTTGATTTCATTCTCTCTTAGAAACAAAGCCTGATCTCACCCTTTCTTTAACAACTAACTTCTGCGGTCCTAAAAATATCTAAGGATTTTCTTTTATAGAAATGAAGTGTGCTCTGTGCAGCCTTTCGAAGGATGGCCACCATCCCAACTTATGTAATGAATAAGTCTTAGAAAGTTTCTCTCTTCCTTGAAAAAGTTACACATGTGACTAAAACACGTGGCCTTTCTCAGCAACTCTTAAACCTCAATACACTGTTTATAAAGGGCCTGCTGATAGTACTCAGAGATCTGGCTGGCTGGTTGGTGTTCCCACTCCTGAAAGCTAAACTTTGTTAAAAGAACACTAAAATGCCCAAATTCCAGCACCAATACTACTTGCTGCTTCTACAACTGCTATTGAGATTAAAAGGACAAAAGATGAAGGTCAAACACAAGTGCACAGCCTGTATAATATCTTAATTTCAACAGCATACAAATTAGACTGTAGCATCCTTTGTTTAAGTACCTATGAGAGGTAAATACAGTACTTTATAGTGAAAAAAAAATCCAAGCATCACCAAAACCCCCCTGAGGCATTGGTACATGCCAGAATTACTTGTGAATTAGCAGTAAAAAGTTTTGGAAAAGCCACAACCATTGAGGTTTGAGAAATAATTTTATTTCAAATCTTTTTTTTTTTTTACCCTATTTGCAGAGATAGGTTTTACTGTTAAGAGTTGTTCTATAAAATGAGCAATGGCCTTTTTTCTCTCCGTGTATTTTTTGAGTCTTAGAGAACTGCAAAAATATCCCTGGTCATTAGTGCTTATGCTAAAAATACTTACTGCTTTATATAGTCTTATAAGCTTCAAGGGAGGGGAAAAAAATCCCTGGAACTGAGAGCTTGGGAAGAAAGAATGTCTTTTG